AATGGCCGGAGACGGATATTAGTTGAAGAAATAGCTTCAGGAAACCCTGCATCTCACACTCAACCTTTCATGCTCCAACTATTTCCCCTATTCTCTTCAAAAGCAAATGGAATTAATGTATAGAATGAATATTATAGAATCAAATGTTGCTCTTCAGATTAAATTCAAGCCTTTTAGAAGTGATGCAATCAGAAAAGACTAGGCTAAGCACGAACAGGGACCGGACACGCAGCGACTGATCAGGTGCTCAAGTGTGGTGCTCATTCGTCTGCTGTCTAACCCCGGATAAAGACGCAGAGACAAGTTCCAGTTATCCGCGAAAAGCAAGCCGGACAGCAAAATTCTATTGGAGCACTGTATTCTTTCAGTGTTGTTGAGCAGCGGAAAACGAAATCAAAAACCAATACTGCTGTAGTACATATTTCTGCATTATTTTAGGATTTTATGATTTTACATGGAATATAGAGATCTCATTGAGACTTACTGTTTAGCGACAAAGCGGAGCGTGAGGACATTCCGACGCAGTGTCCTGTCTTCCACAGTTATTTGGAATGAAAGAAACCTATCATTATTTCAGATCGGAGATGAAATGGAATGTAGCTATGTTTGGTAGAGGTAGCGGTTTGAGTAGGTGGCCGGTGAGCTTGTAGTTACAGAATCTTGAAGGGCGCCACCTCATCGGAAGACCAGGGGCCGTAAGGTATGCTCTCGTTTTCGGGGCTGGGATGCCCCGATTCGGCTCTCTCTCCGCTCTCGCCGAGAGCATACCTTACCGGGAAGGGGACCCTCCCCTGTTCGGGGGAGCATACGTTACGGCCCCAACGGGGTACAGGGAAAGTTTCCCGGCAGAGAAAACGTCTGGAAGAACAGGCAATACCATAACTAGTCTCATATGAGATAACACTTGCGATAGCGAACTCAACGACACACTTGAAAGTAACTGAATTGTCGAAAATCTTTTATTCTGTATATTCATAAATGTATGTTTACATAGACTTCAAAACAAAAACGAAACGGAAAGGAAGGCCGAAATCGATGTCGACTGCTTTCATGGGGCTCCGGAACACCGTTCGCTGGCCAACCGTAACATATCCCCACGTACATGAAACAGCGCTGGCCAATTTCCAAACCTCACATCGTAACAGCACGAATCACCGTACACCTGAAAATCGTCAATTAGCATCAACTACAAAACTGCTCTCCAAAAAGGAAACGCATAGTGGACTCTTATTGTTAGACTGGTGTAGTAAGGAGAGAATGAAACTCTTGAGTGAGGACAATCCCTCTTCAGAATCACGTTCAGTCTTCCACCGCTATTCAGCTTTCTGCGATCATTCATTGGACCCTTCCGTGATTTTTCCTCTGTATTGACTTGAGGGGCCAGATTTCATAGTACAAATGAATGGAAACTATTACAGAGTGTGGTACCATTGAGTCGACCCGACGGAATGGAGCCTCGGACAAGCTCCGATCCAAGACATGAAAGCTGGAGCATGTCAGCGACACTTCCCTACCGGTTAATTCGTAGGTCTTTTTTAGTATTACTATCTTTCCCATGTTGCCTTCTACATCTCTGCCAAATTTGAACGCCCAAGGTCCAAATTCATTATTTTTGCGGAAGCTTCGCCCCCGGTGGGCGGGGCCTGCGTCTGTCACCTACTATTAGCTTTCCCATGTTGCCTCATCTCTGCCAAATATGAACGCCCCAGGTCCAAATTTATTATTTTTGCGGAAGCCCCGTCCCCAGCGGAGCGCTCCGCCCCTGGCAGGCGGAGCTAGCTTGGGTCTCGTGTACCCAAAAGTTCGGCTCAT